GTCTGATGTTTGCTGATGCTATAGTGCTAATGGCCCATAGCAGCATAGCGAGAGAGAGAGATGAAACTTTATTAGACCCAAAAATATGAGCAAAGAACCTCAGTCCAAGCCCTTTCTGGTGGCGTACCTCAGAGAGAACTGGATGCACGCAGCCGGATAAACTTGATCTGGAATTGTGGTGGCCGTAGTCAGCCACTCGGTGTTGGGGAGAAAGGACAGGGAAGTGGGGTTAGGGAGGGATGGGGAACGGGTATGGAAGATCCGTAATATGTGTTGGGGTATTTGGGCGGTCGCCACAGTGAATGAAGGGAGGAGGGTCCTCAGAAAGGAGACCTCGCAGAAGGTGGCTGCGGGCTGGGGTGGGCAGGGTGTTACTTTGGGCGTTGCGGAGGATGGTGCCTTGGTGGTGTTTGAGGATGAAGAGGGGAAATACTCGACGGGCTTGTCTTAATTACTCGAGGGAAGGTGAGGCCACGGAAAAAGTATCGGCAGGTCTGGGGATGTCGGGCACCTGGTGGACCGTTTCGCGGGCGAACAGGTGTGCTTTCTCGATGCCCGGCATGCCCCCATGACCTAGGATTGAGACGATCTCAACGGGTGATAGTAGGCCGCGTTCTATTTGTTCTGCAATGACAAGTGGAAGTGAGTTGTGCACTAGCCTCTAATGAATAGATATGGTGCAGAGAACCACAGGCTAGGCTTAGAATTCAGTAGTAAAAAATCAGCCGTCATAATGTTTAATGATGACAACATTGCAGAGCTAAAGATTCAAGGATTAGAGGTTGAGCGAGTAGATAACCGTAACTATCTAGGAGCATAGATTATAGATCATAGAAAATACCTAAATAAACATTCAAAATATGGAAATGGTAATAACAACCGAAAAGCGGCTGTGATGAAAATAGAGCACCGTGGAACTAAAACAGGTATGAGGTGATGAGGGAGATCTGGAAAGAGTTATGGCCCTGAGCCTGGCTTTTGGAAATGCAGTTTTGTGCATAAAACTGGACGTCCAGACAAGGCTAGAAATAATACAACGTGGAGTTGGAAGACTGGCTCTGGGAGCACATGGTAGAACACTGAACCAAGGTCTACATGGAGATATGAGATGTTCCTCATTCGAGAGCAGGGAAGCTAGCAGTAAGATAGCATTTGATAATAGGCTAGGAGAAACAGATGCAGAACGATGGGCACGAAGAGTTCCTAGCTATTTGCACATGGGAGGCGTTGATACGAAATGGAGAAAGCGGACTTGAAATGTTAGATCTAGATATATAGAAAATATCAGGGAGGCAGATACAAAAAAAAATGAAGGCTGCCAAAAACGTTAAGAAAACACTTTTAGGAAATATGGGAAGCAGGCGTGCAGACTAAAACGGCCTTGAAAATGTACAGATCGTTTCAGAAGGACGTTACTAAGAAGCAAATCATCGACAATTCTAGGGGGAGCTCGTTGTTGTTTGACGACAGGAGTGTTGCGAAATCAGACATAAAGAGCTAGATATTACGAAGTATCTAAGGCTTTTGGAGCTTGGTGTTGAAGAGGAGGAGACGGCTGAGCACTTTATACTTTACTGTAAGGGGCTTCACTCTGAGGTAGCAGAAGAGGCGGCTAATTTAACAAACGCACTAGGATTTGGAGGTAGTGAGGGACAACTAGAGGCAAAGAAGACGGAGAAACCAAGAAGAGATTACCTGGCTGCTGAAATAGGCCGAGGGTAGAATTAATGTGTTCTTACTCCCTCCCGGGCCAGCCGAAGGACGGAAGGTGTTTGCACCCTGTTGCATAGAGGCGCCTGCGCCGTACGTATCGTATATAATTTTTAAGTGGAACTGTTTAGACATATAAATCTATATTAAATAAATGTTAAGAAAAAAATACTGTTTCGGTGCCGCAAGCCGCCGCCCCGATTTAAGGGGTTCTGTCTCGTCCATCCGTCCGTCCGTCCGATGTTTCATTTTCCCCCGAGCTTACTCTGCTCTGTTTCACATTAAGGAGGTTCAGAAGATCATTTCCATGACTCCGATAACGATGCCCAATAGCGATACGGTACTTGCCTAAGGATACGGGGGAGTGTTGGGTATTACAAAGTTTTAGAGAGCCGTTTTTCTACGTCCGATACGGTACGATGGGCCCTTCAGTACGGACTGCGAATTTGACAGTCTTCTGAGGTAGCGCATGCAACAGTTCCTACCGGAAGGCCCATCGTGCCCTATCCGATGTTCCAAGACGGTTCCCTAAAACTCTCTTATATCTCTCTGTATCACTCGTTCCAGCGTGACGTGATAAATCCTGCGTTCCCGCAATTTATTGCGCTCGTGGCAAGTGACCCGATTTTTTTTTTCAAACGGGACACATTATAAATGCCAGTCGCTCTATATTTGCATTTTTCTTTTTTTTTCAACCTCCGACTGACTCGGTAACAAAAACGAGAGTGAAAAAAAATCCTTAGTATACAAGCATTCGAGTTACATACTGTAGCTACATCTCTACGTAATCACCACATAGATTTAGGCACTTATCGAGATCTGGCACACGCATTTGATTGACCCTCTTCAGAAAGATTACCACCTGGGTGCTTACAATATCTCTGTCATTTCATCGCGCGTTCAATAACACAGTCAGTAAGAACAGTATTTTTTTCCTGGCCCCCAACATTCGGGACATCTCTTCGTGCTCCCAAAGCATTTATGCTGTTGCCTCCATGCGCATTTCGTGTGTGTGGCAACTGACGGTCCTTTTGACGCTTGATGGAACGGCTGAGGAGCCACGCGGCACCCTCCTTTTAAAAGATCACCATAAAGCTTCTGCCCCGTCATGATTAGTCCCTCAATCTTCGCGGTGATCAAATGGAGAGGTACCTATACCGCACGCAAATACATTTTATGTGCAGCGTGTTTCCGAGCGCTACACGAGCGTAAAGCAATTCGTAAAAATAAATCAATAAACTTGGCAAATTGAAGCTTCCCAGGAAGTTAAATATAGGTGCTTCAATTATAATTCACAAACTTATTGAGTGTACGCTTTTAGAGAAATTATAAAAAAAAAACTCTAGACCAATGAAGACTTGATTTTTTATTTCACGCTAATACATATATATGACACAACAAAAAGCAAAAGTGCGAAAGGTCCTTTGAGATAACCATCCGAAAGCAGATCCAGCAGTCTGAGGGTGTGTGGTTCCATCTGTGAGTAGAATCAAGTTGAAGGTTGTGGGTTTCTTTATGGAGGTCGCTCTACTAGTAATCGCCGCCCGATCGGTATACTCCACCCGTCACCCAGGGTGTGGCACACACAACGAGAGACAGTGAAGGGGTTTACTGTACCTCTCGGGTTGCCCGTCGTCGAGAGCCGGAAGTCCAGGCACGCCGACCCTTGTTGTCGCCCGTCAATCAGAGCTCACAGTCGGGGTCCGTGTCCAGGCCTGCGGATCGCTTTTCCCACGCCAGCGCTCCGTAGGCTGGCTGTTCCGGGCTACCAATGCCCGAGATTCGCTGCGGAACCACCCGGGGATCGTCATAGCCCAGGTCATATGGCCCGGGCTCGCCGTCTCCACCGGTCTTGCTCTAGACCTCGCTGGTGGACCGCTCCGGGGTTCGTTATGGGCCAGGCCAGGCAGCTTGGCTTTGACGCTCCTTGTCCAGCTACCAGCCTCGCTCCGCTCGCACTGTCTCGCGCCAGCTCGTCACCTCTCCGCCGACCGCCTGTCACGTGCCCTCGGCCTCGTCTTTCACCTTCGGCTCCCACAAGGTTTATAGTGTTTTAGAGCGCAGCTCTTAGGGGCCCGTTCCCAGCCTGAGCGGCGTCGCCGTCGGCGTAACCGGGAGGGGGGGGGGGGGAATCACGTGACCCCCCCCCCCTCCCCCGAGGTTACGTGACCCCATGGAGAATAGAAGGGTAGGAGAGGGCATGACGTCGGCCGCGTAGCCTCCACAAGCCATGCTCCCTTGACGCCTCGCCTCTTTCTCATTTTCCTCCTTGCTCTCCTCACTTACCATGCCAACGTGACCACATCACGTGACCGTAGCTAGCCTTCGTCTTGCTATGGGGTACTAGAATACACCACAGTCTAGCCTTCAGTCTGATAAAACCTACCGGAGGAGCGCGCGCAAGCCTGCAAGGAGCCCTTCTACAATCAACCATCCATCTCACACGTGACATGTCACGCGCACCAATCGCCAGAGAGATCTGCGGTCACGCTGGGCACAAAATAGTTTAAACTTTTTATGACTAGCCTTCACCAATATTGCAACGTGCCCCCTCCTAGTACTTCTAACCTCCTTGCGTGACCCCCCCCCCCCCCCCCGAGGTCACGTGACCCCCCTTCCCCCCGAGATCACGTAGCCCCCCCCAGGTCACGTGACCCCCCCCCCCCCCGACCCCGGGGTCAAGTGACTACCCGCAGGTGACGTGACCCCCCTCAGTACCCTTCCCTACTCCTCCTTAAGAGCTGCGCTCCAATTCGGCGTTACAGGGATTTGTAAAGGCTTTCATTTTTCTCACCATGCTTAAAAAACAACTAGGTTTAAGTTTTTACCTTGCAATCACACTCATGAAGCTTTAGGATGATAAGGGCACCACCAAAAGGGAGCTTTGTCAAACGTGGTCTCCGTTTACTGGTTTATTTCTACGGATTTGTTTGCGCCCGAACAGCGCTGCGAACCGCCCTGTACATATATGAACGGCGAAGAAGGAAGATAAGGGGAGCTGTACAATGGAAAGTAACGGCCGACCGCAAGTGGGGAAGCAAGAGGGGAAAGGTGGCCGCCATCTATGAGCGACGGCGACCACCAGATACGTGGCTTGCCGCCGTCGCTCATAGATGGCGGTAGGTGTCCAGAGTTCGGTGTCTTAATTTCTTTCCGGTGGACACGATCCTGGGGAAACTAGCCCATAACAGCTCCGCTGTTAAAAAAAAAAAAAAAAACTATTTGTACGATTTTGTTTCTCACGATCCTTGGGTTGTTCAACCCAAAACTTGTTCTTGTTTATTTCCCAGGCTCGTCGCTGATGAAGCGGCAGGAAATCTGCTTCTCCGCCGACGGTACCACGACCGCCGTCTGCGGTGGCGGCATCCCGCACTCTGCTCAGATAGGCGTGACCAGGATGCTGCTGGTCATATCCACCGTTTTCATTCTGCTCAACCTGCCCAGCTATGTCACACGAATCTACGTCTTCGTTCTCAGCTGGGGAGAAGCCGACTCCCAAGACGGTCCCAGCTCGGGTTCGCTGCCGTACATCTTGCAGCGGTACTTCATGCTGCTCTACTACACCAACTTCGCCATAAACTTTGTGCTCTACAACGCCAGCTCACGAATGTTTCGGCGGACCATGTGCAAGTACTTTTGCGGCCGGTGGACGGCTGTGTGCTAAGGAAGCTGCGGAAAACGCATCGTCAACAATTCTGTGGTTGTCCACACTGTAAAAAACATTTTCTGAAAACTACAGAAAAAACACGTCAACTTTTTTTACCTACCTTTGCTGTTTTCCGCTGTTTGCTGTTTAGTTTTTATGTAATTTCACCAAGAAAGTCTGTTTTAAATTTTTTAAGATTTTACAAAAATTTCTGTTTGTGCGAGAAAAAAAGCTCTTTATATTCAAAGTTTTCGGTTCTGCGCAAGCCTGTAAAAATACAGGTCTTTATATTTCTGTTGCCTTTTATCAACCATGCAAACCAGTAAATATACAGGTTCTGTGATATTTCTATTGCATGCATATTAACCATACAAACCTGTAAAAATACACGTTCTGTAATATTTCAGTTGCCTGTAAACTAACCGCACAACCTATAAAACTACTGGTTCTGTGATAATACAGTTGCCGATGTTATGCAGCTGGCCAGCCTCTAGAAAAACAGGCCTCGATGGTTCCTTCAGCTATGTCCTGCTTCTTTCACGTAAAGCTTAGTTTGGTCTATTGAACTGAATACATAGAAAACTGGTTTAACTGTAAAACGTACAGTCACCCTGACAAACTCTGCTGGAGTATCTGTGGGGTCAGCAATACGGTGTGAAACAAAAATTACACTAGAGGAAATTATGTCAACTGTAATTTTTATTGTAATAAAATTCAAAACGCTACCTTGCGCAATGAAAAGGTTAACAAGCTTTTAAAATGCTTACATTTTTAAGTATTTAGCGTTGATCTGGACGTGCCAAACTCTAAAACGCAAAGTTCGCTAAGGAAGTTGCCAAAGCCGCCACCTTTGGTGAGAAACTATGCTGTTTCCTTGATGATTTGCGAGTCTTTGAGCTTTTATCTGGATTGATGCCAGCGATGACCATGTAAAGTGAAATTATTATTATAAGCAGCAAAGCAAAACAAATGAGCCTTTAACACAAATTTGGACAAATTCATCACATTCGAGTAAATTTCAGCAGCTTGTAAGGCTGTGATTCCTTGGGCAAACCAAGCCCAGTGACAAAGTAGTCTGGCATTCTCACCTTTGAACAAACTCCATTGTCAGGGGTACTTCCTGCAGATACTCCACTATGAGAACGAATTTCAGCAGGAACATAAGCTTTGATGCAACAGCTCTGTTGCACGTAGTGGTCAAGACGATTCCATTCATGCACACGGTGAAATCCGCGGTCATAAAAGGGCTCGGTCCTGCATAAAAAAGCAAGCAGCACAATGAATGTCACATGACGGCCACGAAGACGTTTCTTGATCTAACTTTTATGCAAATGCTCGGCGTGGCAGGCATCTCTTGAAGATTTGTGTCCCCCGCAGTTTCCTGAGAATTGTCAGAAGAGACCCACATATATTTAATTAAAATTACATTAAACAATACCCATTATAAGATCTCCATCCTTTAATGAAAGGCAAACAGAGAGGACATTATGATCTGCATTTTTGCTTCGCCAGCATTGCACCCCTACTGAAAAAAACATTTGGAATTCAAACGGGTGGCAAACTGGTCGACCCGTTTGAATCAAACGGGTGGCAAACCTGTCGATCCGTTTGAATCAAACGTGATTATGGGATATGGGTACCCGTTTAAAACGGTACCCGTTCGAAACGGTTTCCATTTGATGTGGATGCCCGTTTGATACAGGTTCCCGCTTGATACAGGTGCCCGTTTGATGCGGGTGCCCGTTCAACCAGGCACGCGACCACACGTTTGAACGTGCCATTTGGATTCGCTAGCCCTAAATGGGTAACGTCTGGGAGGCTAGTTGTCTTAAACTTATTTAAGGCGTCCCGAAACTCATAAACGTATTTAGAACATGGATAGCAGAAGATAGCAAAGCAAACAAGAACCAAGGTAATTCTAGTCTATGAAGGTAGACTTTCGGGAAATTATTCGCCCGGCTGCCGCGAGAATAGTAGCTGCATTATTATATAAGTAATCTGGAAGAGTACGCGTAGAAGAACGGTCAATCGTTGCCAAGAAGTAGGTTGCAGTGCACTTACCATAAAAATAGCGGACTTGAAAGATGTAATCCGTGATATTTGTCGACACGGTCAAAGCAGGACAACCACACAAACACAAACGAGAGGGAACGGCTCCTTGGAAGTTTCAACACGATGTGGCGCACAAGCTGTCATTTACCGAACCCAACCAAACCGCAAGAATTCCTGACTTCTTTGAAGAATCGCTTGTTGCCGATATAGGCGTAGGACGTTTCGAACACTGATAGCTTTGGTGCAGATGCAATGCGTTGTCGAGAGACATCCTAATAAGACCGCAGGGTTTGGCGACAGATCGAAGCGTGCGGACAAGGGAAGTTCCGAGCTGGAACTGACAACAAGCAGACAAAAAAAAAAAAAAAAGCGACTGCCAGGTGCACTCTTCCGGATCACGATGCTTATCAGCGTGCAGCTCGCGCGCGGCTGCGGGTTACGTGACGGGTGACAAGAGAGGAGGGAGGGGCGAGGACCACAGGGACAGCCCCTCTCCCTCTCCCCGGGCATTCCAGTGAAATGTGTTATTGTAGCTTCAAAAAAAAAAACAAAAAAAACATGCGCGCGCGTTTTTTTAGCACGCTCGAACCTTGGAAATGGCGGCGGGGCGTCCAGAAGCTCGGCTTGCGCCCGAGCGAAAAAAGTACTCAGCGCGAGCTCGTCGTTTGACTGCTGCAACGGCGGGCGTGCTCTCGCAATGCTCGATTTTCTTGCAGCCGCCTGTACGCGTGCTACCTTCGCTGCGTCTTGAATTAAAGTGAAACGGAGTCTAGACGTACATTGTTTCACGCGGTCGCGTCTTCTGCGAGAGAGATTCGAGCTGAATAGGTAAATTGAGACAACAAAGATGGGCAAAGTTTTAAACTTCTGTCAAAAATATCGGCTCAAAAAAGTCGCGGTTTTACGTAAAACAAAAAAGGTGTTAGTTTTAGTTGCAGTATAAGCGAACATCGGCGCAATTGAAATATAAATATACAGTAAAACCTTGTTATAACGAAGTTGAAAGAGCGGCCGTAATTATTTTGTTATAACCATTAGTTTGTTATAGCCAATGTCCATTTCTTCCCACTATTAGCAAGCAAGGGGAATTACAATTCCTTTGTTATATCCGTTAGTTTGTTATATCCCATTTTGTTATAACGGGGTTTTACTGTAATTACTTATATTACGCGGACGATCTGAAATCGATGAACCGGCGCACCCAGCCTTCCGGAAACATTGGCTGCCATGGCTGAAACGCTAGGCGTGCCCACGCCGCCGATCTGTACGTTCAATATCAAACGGGCTCCGGAGAGCCGTTTGACTAAACCGGTACAGTTTGCAACATGGTCACCGGTTTGAGCAAACGTGCGACAACTTTGCCCAAACGAGTCGCCCATTTGCCCAGACGAGCGACCCGTTTGCCAAAGGAGTGACCTGTTTGTCCATATAGGTGACCGTTATGGCTTATACGGGGGACCCCTTTGAGCCATACGGGCGACCCCTTTGACAAACTGGTGACCGGTATGGACCCGTTCATTTTCATATAGGCGCCAAATGGTTTTTTTTCAGTAGGGAATGGACAGGAAAACAGACACAAAAGATCGTTTTCAATTCTCCTCGAAGTTTATTACCTCTTCCGACGACAGGTATAAACGTGCAAGCGATCTGTGAAATGTGAGAGGCACTTTAAGCTTTTATGCAACTGAGAAGATTGCAAAGCAAACAAGAACCAAGGTAATTCTAGACTATACAGCTAGACTTTCGGGGAAATTATTCTCCCGGCTGCCGCGTGAATAGGCGCTGCATAATTCTAGATATCATGGAAGAGTACACGTAGAAGAACCGTCAATAGTTGCCAACACGTAGGTAGCAGTGCACTTACCATAATAATAGCGGACTTGAAAAATGTAATCTGTAATATTTGTCGACACGGTCAAAACAGGACAACCACACAAACACTAGAACGTGAAGGAAGGCCCCTTGAAGTTTCAACACGTTGCGGCGCACAAGCTGTCATTTGCCGAACCCAGCCAAACCACAAGAATTTCTCACTTCTTTGAAGAATCGCTTGTTGCCGCTATACGCGTAGGACTTTTCGAACATTTGGTGCACGTATGGGATATACGACAACGTATGGGATATACGTTGTCGAGAGACATTCTTATAAGACCGCAGGGAAAGGTGGCAGATCGAAGCACGCAGGACAAACGAAGTTGCTAACGGAAAACAAGCAGACAAAGAAACAAGCGACTGTCAACGTCCGCACAGCCGGATCTGGCTATGCTTATTAGCGTGGAGCGTGCCCTACCCTCTCTCTAGTCACGTGACAGAGCTGACCAGAGAGGAGGAAGGGGGCGACGGCGAGGTCAAGGAGCAGGACACCTGGACACCCCACCCCCCTCCCTCTTAACACTCTCCTCCTGCATTCTAAAAAAAGAAAACAAAAAAACTTGTTGTTGGCTTTTTGTGGCAATGCAGTCAATGCTAGGGGAGAGGGTGCGCGGACCGCTGTACAAGCGCTTTTCTCCTCTCTTGGAATTGCCACTGTACGTGTCGTTTGCAGCCTTGGAAAGCAGGCGAAACGCGTGCATTTCAGCACGCACGCTGGAAGTGGCGTCGGCCAGGAGCCCGGCTTGCGCCCGAGCCAAAAAAGCACCCAGCACGAGCTCGTAAATTGACTGCTGCAACGGCGGGCGTGCTCTCGCAATGCTCGGTGTTCTTGCAGCCACGTGTTCGCGCGCTACCTTCGCCGCGTCTTGAAATGAAGTGAAACAGACTCTAGAAGTACATTCTTTCATGCGGCCGCGTCTTCTAAAAAAAGTAAGAAAAGTGAGGCAAAAAAGATGGACAAAGTTTTAAAGTTCTGTCAAAAATATCGGCTCACCAACGTCAGCGCACTTAAAATATAAATACAATTACTTGCATTACGCGGACGATCTGAAATCGATGAACCGGCGCTCCCAGCTTTCCGGAAACGTTGGTTGCCACGGCTGAAACAGCTAGTCGTGCCCACGC